TTGCATCCATGCTGTCAGCAGTATGAGCAGAGTACTTGCTAGGAATAACAAGAATAGACCCTCTTCCCATTCCTATTGCAATGTAATTATTGTGAACTGCCAAGACTTGCGGTGAGCCATGATCACGCCTTAACGCCGGAGATGAAAGGGTCCGAGTAATGGGATTATTAGCATCGACATTGAAGTATCCTAATGTGGTGGAGCCTCTCCGAACACCCTCAAGCCTCATGGGTTGAGCAGCGGCACCCTCTTCCCAATGCAAAGCATTAGAAGCTTGCTTCTTCTCTAGCTCTTCAGCGATTTCAAGTGGCTTGCGCAACTTCTTTTCAGATTTTTTACTAATCCTCCTGTTCTCCAATTCCCCAATTCTTTCCTCCACGAGTTGAGTGATTGAACCCAATTCATCGTCATCACCAATATCGCTATCGTTACCAATATCGCCATTGTTATCCTCAGACTCCTTACCACCACCATCATCACCATCATCCTTGCCACCACCACCACCATCATTATCCTCACTATCACTCTCTTTCGAACGGGGACTGTTATCATCTAAGTCTTGAATTTCTTGTTTACATTCCTCTACGACCTCAACATTCTTACTAAATTCCGTATCTTTAACATCATTTGCGTCTAAATTTGTCAAATTCTCATCAAAACTACTTACATTCTTCTCTTCTTCCACAGCATTCCCAGCACTCGCCTCATCAACTTGAGATTGATCAACTCCAAAAGTCTGCTCTAACTTGCTTTCGCTCCCCAAAACCCCGCCTTCTCTCAACAATTCACCCCCAAAATCCAAATGTAATTCGTTTGATTTTGTCCTAAGCACTTCCGGACCAATTGCAGTCATATCACCAGTAGAATTGGAACTCACCTCGGATTTTTCATCCAGTTCCGAACTTTCAAGAACCTTCTGGATAACTCCGCTCACGGTGCTCCTCCTCGACTTGATTGCCGCGGCGTGCGGCGTTGGCATCGACCTCGAGGCCGCCGCCGCTGCAGCTAGGGCCGCCCCGGGCTTTGCATTCGTTCTCATGCCTCCGAGCAACCATGGAGACGGCTTCGGAACCCTCCCGGCCGGATCCTCCGATAAATCCCCGGACTTGACCCGACTGTACAGATTGGACCTTGGCCGGACCGCCCTTTCATCCTCGGACTTAACGACGGGGACCGATACGGCGTCGTTGGGCGGTTCCGGTGGTTTGGGATCGGAATTGAGGCGGTAGATAGAGGAGGAGGACGGGGACGATGAGGCGGACGAATCGGTGTCGTTGAGGATTTCGTCGATCGTGCGGTGGGGGACGGAGTTAAGGTCGTCGTCGTCGTCTTCGTCGGAGGGGGAGAGGTGCGAATTGAGGAACGAGTCAAGGTCGAGTTCCATGGTGAGTTGCGGTTCGAAGCGAGTGAGCTCCTTGGTCATGCTGGTACAGCCCAAGCCGCTGCTGCTGCTACTGCGACGTCGTATTGGTCATCTTCTTCTTTGTCATGACTGGTAAGTCTCTGGGAGTTTGTTTCCTTCCCACGTCATGTCGTTTGTTCTAATGAAATTGGGAAGTAGAGTAAGTAAAACGGTATGTCGTCTGTTTGCGAAAAGGCGCGGCAGCTGCCTTGCGGTTGCAGGTGGAGAGTTGTCGGCACGCGTCACTCGGTAGCGATGCGCAGTTGTTGTCTTGGTTGGCTTAAAGGCAGCTAGATTTGACGATGACCACAGGAGTTGCGTTGGGACTTGTGGTCCTTTTCTTTTTTTTTATTTTTTATTTTTTTATTATTTATTTATGTTATAGTTGTCATGATCAAATGAGATTTAAATTTTAAATTATTTTCGTTTACTTTGTAACATTTTGAGTTACTTAAGAGCAGTTTCACCTCTAAAAACTTTGCACCAGCACCCAGCGCATTTATCCACTTGAATGAACAGTAATAGACTCCAGTGAACAGTAATAGGCCAAAGCATCTCCACCCCTAAAAAAATGCACTAGCACCCAGTCTAAAAATACGATGGCACAAACGATCTCCACCCTTATAAAATGCGCTTGACACACCCCGTCCTAAGGAGGGCGTGCTGGGCGTCACGTGAGAGTAACATAACCATGTGCACAGTGCGGAAGCTAAGAAGATAAATAGAATTACAAATAAATAAAAACTGAATCACTAGCAAAACTAGCTAAGAAATGATGATAGTGCGAGTCTAAGTGTATAAATACACATTCAGAGCAATAAGAACGTCTAGTTGCAGTCAAGTAGGACAATTACTAAGATATAACACCAGAAGATTAATCCTACTTTTGTGAATTCTGTCAGAACTCTGAAGTTAAGTGAGTAGCGCACGAGAGCACTCCCAGGTTGGGTGACCCATTGGGAAGGTCTCGTGTGAGTTCCCAGAAACAAAACCGTGAGGGTGTGGTAGGGGCCCAAAGCGGACAATATCGTGCTACGGTGGAGTCGGGCCCGAGAAGTGGTCCCGCCCGGGCTGGGATGTGACAATTTGGTATTTGAGCCTAACCCTGGCCGTTGTGTGCCGACGAGGACGTTGGGCCCCTAAGGGGGTGGATTGTGACATCTCACATCGCCCAGGGAAGTGATCCTTATATGTATATTCCAATCTCTACCTAACACGAGGCCTTTTGGAAGCTCACTGGCTTCGGATTCCATCGGAACTCGAAATTAAGCGAGTAGCGCATGAGAGCACTCCCAGGTTGGGTGACCCATTGGGAAGTTCTCATGTGAGTTCCCAGAAACAAAACCGTGAGGGCGTGGTCGGGGCCCAAAGCGGACAATATCGTGCTACGGTGGAGTCAGGCCCAGGAAATGGTCTTGCTCGGGCCGGGATGTGACAGCGCTGGCACCCAGCCCATTTAAAATATTTTATATATTTTTTAAAAGAATAAATAAAAAATAATAATTTTATTTTCAGATAAGATTTTTAATCGATTTCGGATAAATTTTCAAATAAACTTAAAAAAAAAACACACATTAAAATAAAATTACATACTCATCAAATAAACTTAAAAAAAAAAAAAACACACTAAAATAAAATTACATAAACTCATCAAATAAACTAAAAAAAAAACACACAAATAAAATTACATAAACTCATCAAATACACTTTATTCTTCTTGTTGTGCCAACAATCTTTTCTATTGCTCCACAAATTGTTTATGCACTCTCCTTGAAGAAGACATTGTAAAAAAAAAACTCAAGATTTGAAAACGATGAAGATGGATGTAGGGATATATGGTTTATATGGACAAAAAAAAAAAAAAATTAAGGATGAGCTTTTTGGTATTTTTTTTCACACAAAAAGTATATGAAAGCTTTGGTAGAAAGTGTATAAAATATTGAAATGTGGTGTAAGGTGGAAGATGAGGGTTAGATATTTATAGAAAAAAAAAAAAAACTTTTTTAAATTTTTTCATAATTTTTAATAAATTTTAATATAGTTAATTAATCTGGACCGTTGGATTTGAAAAATATTCAAATCCAAGAGCTAAGGCGCTGCCACGTGGCCAACGATCATAATTCTGACCGTTGGGCCTTTTTTTTTATTTTTATTTTTGGTGAAAAAAACGTGGACCGTTGATCTGTGATCGGACGGTCCATTTTAAAAGTCAAATTCACATTTTTTTTACCGTTGGAAATCCAACGGCATTGAGAGGGCCACATCGCCTCCTTCTGGGTGAAGCACAAGTGGGCTGACAGCGGGGCCCGCCGCCTGCACCCTTGTCCCCTACTTGCGCCCACTCGCGAGTAAGCTACACGCGCCAGGCAAATAAGCCGGCTCCTTGGTTAATCAATTTTGGGCTGGGTGCTAGGCAAGTTACTGGGCTGGAGTGAATGGACAGGGTGCCAGCCTGGTTTTTTGACTGGGTGTTGGGCTATTCCACCTCTGGTGGAACTGCTCTAAGGTCACATATAAAAATGAATTTTAATTCAACAAAGATATTAGTAATTTGAATGATTTGTGATTGTGAATATTATTTAGAGTCTCTTTCTCTTGTCACATTTTGTTAGCTAAATAAATTAGCTAGTTATTCTCTAAACATAACAAGTTGTTCCAAAAAAACCTTGCTCATACTTAATTTTCTTCACAAAGTTGCTTGCTTCAAGGTGTAGAATCAGCATTTGGTGAGGATCTTCCTGGTTGTTGACTAGAGGTCTTAGGTATGATAACGATTCGGTTTGAGGACGAAAATGTTATATCTATCTCTATAATTACGAAAATTAACCATATCCAAAACCGTAAATTAACCATCGCGTATTATCCATAACTATACCCACTGGATAACGGGTTCTCATTGGTTCACGGTTATATCTATCTTTATCAATACAAAAAATATATTTGTTCGATTTAACGCATGATAATTTAGTAAATATTAATTTAAACATGAGAGTTTTAACGAAAGCCCGCAGTACTGTTCACTTTAACGAAAAATTACATTTTTACACTAAAAAGTCAAACCTGATACTATTCACTTTATCCTTTATTTTGTCTTTATCGTTAAAATTCAAAATTTTCATACCCTTTTCATTAGTTTTCCTTTTAAACATTGATAATGTTGACTGATCTTTGATATTTTCAATAAGTACCATTGAATTATCATAGATTTTGATTCATATTAAAACTTGTGAACTTTCCCACAAAATGCAACTCACATAATGCAATTTTTGTATTTGCACTCAAAGTAAGGGATTTGGCGAATAATGAATATACATACGTGTATTTATATATATTTCAATACTTTAATATTATGAATAATTATATTATATATTATTCGGTTCGAATTCGGGGAGGGATATGGATTGGAGAACTTTATAACCATATCCAAAATTATAATTGAATAATATTCACCGTTTTTCTCCATATCCAAATTTTATCCAAATTTTCATATCCAAATCTAATTTATTCTGACGATTATCCATGATTATCCGATTTAGCGGTTAAAATTATCATTCCTAGATATACTAGAAGTCTCGAGGTAGGGTAGGCAGCCTAGGATTGAGAATATGGGATAGGAGACAAGACTACAGGAAGCTGTTTCCTCCTCTTGTTCTTGGACATTAGTCCAAAAGACCCCAAGGTGACTATGAGAGAGCAATTTGCACATGAGAATTTGTTTGGGCATGTTCTGCTGCGGATTACACACACCGCTAATGAATCTTGAGGTTCTTGGCACTGCAAACCCCTCCACCAAACACCTTTTAGTCGCCTTCTGCAAACTCGAAATTACGGTTTCACCCTCCTGCTTCACTGCTTAAAACCACCACTATTTGCACTGCAGCCTTCACCGCACAAGAAAGAAGCATCCATCCGCAGCTTGCTGTGAGGAGCTCAACTGCTTCCGTAGGAAGTAGGTTCTTCTACGATCCAGAAACGCTTTAAGGTTTGACTGCCAAACATAGGTAGAATCACTTTTGATTGTCAAAAAGCACTTTTAGCCGTTTCAGAAGCAATCCCGAGTTGATCTTATTACGATTTGATAATCTTGCACTTTTAGCCGTTTCAGAAGCAATCCCGAGTTGATCTTATTACGATTTGATAATCTTTTGTGTTTTACTGTTTTGCAGAACATAATAGAATTACAAAGTTGATGGCAACTATCTCTGCTTCAAGCTTTGCCTCCACAAGTTCCCATGTCAGCTATGGCGCTGTGTCGTCCGGATCAGACCCGAAAACCGGATTTAAGAAAATGTGTTTTGGAAAACAGACCCTGACTCACAATGGGTTGAGAGCTTTGAACTCGGTGGACGAGCTCCGAGTCAGAATCATGGCCAACTCAGTTGCAAGGCAAACGAGGGGCAAAACCGTCAACAGCACTAGGAAATCTTCAGGAGTCATTGTTTGTGGTAGTGGGATGAATTTGGTTTTTCTGGGAACTGAGGTTGGTCCATGGAGTAAAACTGGTGGACTCGGTGATGTTCTTGGGGGCCTCCCACCGGCTATGGCTGTAAGCTTTGCTTCCTCTCTTGATTTGTAGTTAATCCGCACAAATAGGAGCGGACGATACTAAACAGACAATAAACTTTATACAAGCAATGGTTTAGTTCCCATTTATTGTCAGCGTAGTGTCCAGCGAGTTTTGTTTTTGATTAAAAGTTTGTAACCGGTTATGTTTGCGTATATTTCAGTAACGATTTCTTGTTTTGACCTATGAACATGAATTTTGGTAACTAAATTGATCCTTCTTCAGGCAAATGGGCATCGAGTGATGACGATTTCTCCACGTTATGATCAGTACAAAGATGCATGGGATACCGAAGTCACAGTTGAGGTGTGTGCAACATATAACCTTGATCAACATTGAAATAGGACAATGAATGAATTTTTGGTTGTTCAAATGATTTATTCCTATCTGTGTAGCTTAAAGTGGGAGATAATACCGAAACAGTTCGATTTTTTCACTGCTACAAACGAGGAGTTGATCGTGTTTTCGTGGATCACTCGCTGTTTCTCGAGAAGGTTTGGTCATATATTTTCACTGATCTTTCCAATGTTTTTGAAATAGCATGACAAGGAAGAAACCTCAATTTCTTATCTGCTTTTTGTGATTGGTTGTTAAGGTATGGGGGAAAACTGCATCCAAAATTTATGGTCCGACTGCTGGAGTCGATTTCAAGGACAACCAACTTAGGTTCAGCCTTCTATGCCAGGTTAGTAATCTCCACCCTCGTTTGTCTATTTTCGTAACTAGCGTAAATAACACATGTTATTGCCAATCTGTTATCAAATGTTTAGTATAAATGTTAATTTGTGCATCTTCTGATTGTATATTTTAGGCAGCTCTAGTAGCACCAAGACTGCTGAATTTAAACAGCAGCAAATATTTTTCTGGACCATATGGTAGGCAAAACTCATCTCCAATTCTTTTAACCAACACCACCTTTACTAAATCTTTTACGCGTTAATTGGTAGTACGACATTTCTGTGTGCAGGGGAAGAAGTTGTTTTCGTTGCCAACGATTGGCATACTGCCCTGCTTCCGTGCTACCTGAAAGCCATATACAAACCTAAAGGCATATACAAGACCGCCAAAGTAGCCTTTTGCATTCACAACATTGCTTACCAAGGCAGATTTGCTTTCGCGGACTTCGCACTCCTCAATCTGCCCAATGAATTCAAGAGCTCGTTTGATTTCATTGACGGGTAAGTTTCTTCGCAATTTTTAAATAGCGTAGACTGCATAGCGTTATCTGACTGAAGGTTGAGTATGATTGGTTCAATTCCACAGGTATGACAAACCCGTGAAGGGGAGGAAAATTAACTGGATGAAAGCCGGAATCTTGGAATCAGACAAGGTCTTGACCGTTAGCCCATACTACGCTGAAGAACTTGTTTCTTCAGTTGAGAAAGGAGTCGAATTGGATAACATTATTCGGAAAACTGGAATTCAAGGAATTGTGAATGGCATGGACGTCCAGGAATGGAATCCCTTAACTGACAAGTATACAACTGTCAAATATGATGCTTCAACTGTAAGAATACTCATCGTACAACTTCCATAACCGCACTGCATGCAAATTCTTTGATTCGTTTGGCAATGACTCTTTAAATTTCACTTGCTTAGGTGGCTGATGCAAAGCCTCTTTTGAAAGAAGCCCTCCAAGCAGAAGTCGGACTGCCGGTGGATAGAGACATCCCTGTCATAGGTTTCATTGGTAGGCTTGAAGAGCAGAAGGGTTCGGACATTCTCATAGAAGCCATTCCCCATTTTATCAAAGAGAATGTTCAGATTATAGTCCTCGTACGTACCGGACATGGAAGTTGTTCCTCGCCTTACATTGCGTATCTGTTTGTCATGCCACCAAAACCTATCTGTATATCATCCTGATCTGCATTCTGTAATTTCCTCAGGGGACTGGCAAAAAGCCAATGGAGAAGCAGCTTGAACAGCTGGAAACGGAATACCCAGACAAAGCCAGAGGAATAGCGAAATTCAATGTCCCTCTGGCCCATATGATCACGGCAGGAGCTGATTTCATGTTGGTTCCAAGCAGATTCGAGCCATGTGGTCTCATCCAGTTGCACGCCATGCGTTATGGAACTGTAAGATCCCTTCCTCAAGTAAGTTCTACGTCCGAAGGTACTTCTTGCCTTAGTACTGAATCGCTGCTACGCTTCTGCAGGTGCCCATTGTTGCGTCAACAGGCGGGTTGGTAGACACTGTTAAAGAAGGATTCACTGGATTTCATATGGGAGCCTTCAATGTGGAAGTAATACTTAAGTTTCTTCCCTTTAGTTTTACACAATCTTTTATTCTTTCGCGTGAGCTCAGGTTTTGGAGATTGATGTTTCAGTGCGAAGTTGTTGATCCAGCGGATGTACAAGCAATCGCTACAACCGTCTCAAGAGCCCTCGGAACTTATGGAACTCCAGCTTTTACTGAGATCATAAGTAACTGCATGGCTCAAGATCTCTCGTGGAAGGTAAAGATAGCGCCACGCACAATCCATTTACAATTAGTCGCGTTCTTGCATTCCTAAATCCTTTGAATCGCAACTGCGCAGGGACCTGCTAAGAAGTGGGAGGAAGTGCTGCTGAGTTTGGGTGTCGCCAACAGCAAACCTGGGATTGAGGGTGAGGAAATTGCACCGCTCGCAAAGGAAAATGTCGCAACGCCATGAGAAACATGAGTTAACGAGCAGCTGATCGGTTTTGTTAAGAAACACAGAAGAAATCTGCTGCGCGCCCTAACTGACCGTCTTGTGTGCAGTATATTTACAAGCAACACAATGCGTGAGGGCATATATTTAGCAATTTGCGTATCATAGGACACCCGTGGTGGGCCGTACCGGCTACAGATCTAACGAAACCAATTGCAGATTTGTATTCGATTTTCACATGCTTTTATCATAGCATTGCAGTTCGACAATATGAAATTTCTTTCGATAATAAGAAATTTCCGTAAGCAAAACGCACATCAAGCCCGGAAATTTACAGCAACTCAAGTATTGAATGCCGAATATATAACCGAAAATTATAACCGAAGAGTTCGGTCAGGAAAACACGAACACAATGCAAGTGTTAACTGCCTTCCTATGCCCTAAAACCAATTTGGGCAATGGCCAATCAATCAATGTAAACAAGACTAAAACATTCTAACGAGAGTTATGCAACCAACACAGAGCTCGTGATTATGTTTCGAAGCATGTATTGCACATCAAACGGAAAATAAAACCATCGCAAACAATTTTTTCAAGATCAAAAGAGCAACATACGTTTATATCAAGAAATTCAAACATAAGATGTTCACAAATAGGACTCGTTCGGCAGAAAACCAGGAGCCTTTTAACAATTTCTCCATTAGCACTACATATCATAAGCCAAAAAGAAAGACACCCCCTACTAGATTGATACGGTAACTAATCTCAAAGTACTAAAAACCATCAAACAGAAGAATGGATTACATCTTTGCTGAAAGGAGCTCCTAATCGAACAAGCTGAATCCCATATCGTCATCACTCTCCTCCTTGGGTTCTTCCTGTAAAAATCAAATTCGAAACCAAAACGAGCAAATCAGATAACCCAACACTTACAAACAACAACAGTTTCAACAAACTCAGGTCGACGAAAAATGATGGAAATGGCCCAATACCTTCTTCTCCTCTACTGCAGGAGCAGCGGCAGCTGGGGCAGCCCCACCGGCACCTGGAGCAGCAACGGCAACAGCACCGCCGCCGCCACCAGCGCCAACATTCAGGATGAGGTCTTCAATGTTCCTCTTCTCGGCGAGCTTGGCGAACAAGCCAGGCCAGTAAGACTCAACAGTGATATTAGCAGATTTCACCACTGTTGCAATCTTCTCAGCCTATTACAAACCAATATTAAGGAGAATCACAGCTTCCAAAAACAACATTTCTAAATTTCTATTTAATCTAACCCATTAACTTAAACCAAATCAAAATAAATTAACACAAATAAACAAAACTAAATCAAACCCACATTAATCTATAGAAAAAAAAAACATGAACACAAAAGTTTAACAATTGCAGCATAAACATTAATAGCAAATCATAAAAATAAAAATAAAAAGCTAAAAAACAAACTAATAAATAATAAAAACGAATATGTGAAAGAAAAATGGAAAAAAGGATACAGTGATGGGGATGCCATCATCGTGGAGGATTAGGGCGGCATAGGTGCAAGCAATCTCTGAAATCGACATCGCTTTTCGCTATAACGAACAACAACAAAGCCCACAATTATTAATTTTGCCATGGAAAACATACTCATAAGAGTTTGCAGTCGATGCTAACAGGAGAGAGAGAGAGAGAGAGAGAGAGAGTCACCTGAGGGAGATGAGATCTGAGACTGATGGGTGGTAGAGAGCTGCGCGGCTGCAAAACCTCAACACTTTCTCGTCTAGGGTTTCTGATTTTCTAGCGAGGCAGGGCATTTAAAGGTGCGCAACAATGGCCTCGCCGGATTTTTTTGGAAGCGCAGTAGTGGGCTCAGGGCCCAGAAAGCCCAGTTCTCATTTTCTTTGGTGGTCAAAGCCCATTCATCCACTGGAGTTTGGACTATGGGTGATTTTATGGAGACCCCAAAATGATATTTGGACACCCAAGTTCTGAGAAAGAAAAAGAAAAGAAAAAGAGATTCAATTTGTAGAATGAATTGAATGTCCCTTAGACCTAGCAAAAACATTCCTCCTAAAAATAAGTTCTACTAGTTAAAATTTGAGTTCATCTTGACAAAAAAATAAAATAAAATAAAATAAAATTTGGGCTCATCTACAAGGAAAAGGGGAAAATTTGAAGTTAAACTGTCAACTAGTTGGCTTGTCCAATGGACTAATGGATGTCCAGTTTGGTATTGGTTTTTTTTTTTTTTTTTAACCAAAAACTGCTTCACTTTAAAAGTAATAGCCTCCAGACAGCAGCTTTAATAAAAAGCAAAGTTGAACCTTTAGAATATTTGTAATTCATGAAATAAGATCATTAATTTTAAACAATGACATTCATTATCCTTTTGGACACTGCTTTTCATGCTCACAACATTTTAAAAAATACAATTTATCAAACACTCAACTGCTTTATTTTACAACTGATTATTTTTAAGACACAATAGAAACAATTTGTTAAAAAAACACAACAATACCAAACCGGCCTGGAATGATCTCATGTCATCAATCAATTTCTAGTTATATTTTTATTGACAAGCATATAGACAGCTAATCAAAATTTCGATATGATATATTGATAGTTAATGTAGATTGAATGTGGTGAGCTAACTATTTCAATTAATTCTATATAACAAATGAGGCTTAAAAGCATCTCTAACAGCCTTGCTAAATGAGGTTGTTTGGGCATTTTAACAAAATATCACAAGTTCCAACATGCTATTACTCGCTATATGCCTCTCTACTTTGACATTGTGAGCAATTTCTTGCTAGATTTGGCGATGAGGAAAGAGAAATTCGCAAGCTAGCTATACATAAACAATTATTATTTATGTTCTTCCTCCACACACTGTTTGGGTCGCGAATTGTGGATACATCAACGGTTGAGCGATCAATTCTAAGATGATGGAGTAGTGACTATTCATTGCGACAACAACGACAAAGTCAATGAGATATGGGATGATGGAGCTGATGAGATCAAGGACGACAAGCCTCGAATGGTCGATGAGATTTGAAATGGCAGAGTAAGGTCATCCCCAACCAACCCGGCCAAAGGGTTATAGGGCTAAATGGCGGAGTAGTGACTATTAGCTAACATCATGTTGATGCCAGGTTACTATTGGATTTGAATTTTTTTTTTTTTTAAGACAATTTTTTTTCGTATAAATACCTAAGCCATTCCTACACCATTTATCACCTACTATCTTACTTCATTTTATTTCAATTCTTCACATTCTATTCTCTTACCTCTTCCAATAATCTTTCCTTCAATTTTGTCAATAATTTTCAAATGGTCACATCTACAATGAAAGGTAGGGCTTGGACCCGAAAAGAAGATGAAGCTCTTTGCAGGGCTTATAGATGGGTATCAGAAGATAGTATGAGGGGGAATTCTCAAACAAGTGAAGGTGTTTGGACTCGTCCGAAAAGTACTATGAGTTCTACAAAGAGACCACTCCACCGAATTCCCGAAACCACGAGAGTTGTTCTTCAAGATGGAAAAAACATCTTCATCCAAGTTTGAATAAATTGCATCAAGCAGTGGTAGAGGTCGAAGGCAGACATGAAAGCGGAGCCAATTACTACGACGAAGTAAGTGTTTTCACAAGTTAATTTAAATATTTAAGTATATTACATTTAATTTCATAAATTAATTTCTTTTAATTTTTGTAATTATATTTTGTAGATACGTCAAGCGGAGGAATTGTATATGGGAGGACAACTCAAAACCCTTTAGTCATCACGGTTGTTGGGAAATTTGTAAAGGGTGGGTGTTATTTGAAGATCCACCTCAGCAAAGAGTTGGTCTTACGCCGGTGTTTGGAAATGTTTCCTCAAATGCAAATGGGGATGAACATGGATCTCCTACCATTCAAGAAACAACGGTAGAAAATCTGTCTCCGGGTGAAGGTTCCATACCTAGGGCTACGGGATGAAATAAGGCCCAAAAATTAAAGGAAAATGGCATGGCAAAGAATGATTACACCTTTCAATAGGAAATGGTGGCCTCATTGCGATTAATGGCATATCAAAATGCCTTTGCCGCGGAAGAAAGGAACCGTAGGCACGAAGAACGAGCAAAACAAATACAAGAAGAGATGGATGATAGGAACATGCAAAGGAACACTTCGGATTACACTCCAATGAGCAAGGCATATTTGAGCAAGGCATATTTTGATTGGAGAAAGAGGGAAATTATGGCCCGACGGGGGTTATTTACATCCGACTATACTCCTAGAATGGCGGATGATGATGATGATTATAATCTTTAAATTTAAGGTGTAGTTTTTAAATTTAAGATGTTGTAGTCTTTAAATTGAAATAATAAATTATGTTTGTCTTATGATCCTTTGGCTCCCTTGGTTGGAGATGGTTTTTTGTCATAGGGATATGTTTGACTTATGGCCCTTTGGCCCCCACTGTTAGAGGTGGTATGAAATATGGCCTGACATTGTTTAATAAAATATAATTTTTTAGAGGGCTATAGGGCTAAATAGAGCACTTTGACCCTTATTCGGTTGGAGATGGCTTAAGAAGCGACATAGGGAGAGTCTGAAGGGAAAAACAATAAATAACGAAGAGATGGAATATGAGTGGTTAGAGAAAAATTGACGGAAAAGACAAAGAAAGGGAGAAGAAAAAAAGAGGAGAGAGAGATAATGGTACAAGTTGACTTTCCTTTTTTCCATTTTGTCAAAAAATTATAAATGAATTATTAAGACTTTATACAATCAATTAAGAATTTAAGATAAGATAATAAATTCGATGACAAATATCTTCTCTCATTAAAGTTAAACAGTAATACATTGCTTTAATTTCTTTTGTCACAAAGTAAAAATTCAGGTAGCAAGTGGAGAAATTCCCCTACTACTTACTGGTACTTTCTTCTTCAATATTGAAGCATGTTCATGTAATTTGAGACAAGTAATTCAATTTTGCATCTCAAAACCAAATCAAATTAATTATAAAAATAGTACTCTCACCACGTAATCGTATCATTATTTATATCATCTATTTTTATTAAAAATATGGTATAAATAATAGTACAAATATGCAAAACCATGCATTGCCTAAAAAAAATCTCCTTGGATTCCAAGCACATTCTTCAAAGCCTCAAAAGTGATTGATTGATTGTGCAAAAGAAGAATCATAGTAAAGAAAAAACAAAATAACCAGAAAGACAATCTTCTATTTCTTCAAATTAATCCATCCTATCCGAAAAAACAGTGACCAAATTCAAAAAAAAAAAAAAAACTTACAAGTTAAATGGCCAATCAAGCTATCCCAAGCTTTTGACCAAATTGGTGTTTCAAAGACATAAAACAAATCTTTTGAAACCCGATTGCTTTTACCAATATAAACAGAGGTGGCTTTATATGTCATTGGATGCTCTCAGCAATCCCAGACACATAATCCAACTGCTAATTAGTGTTGTGACTTGTGAGGCAGAAACCAAAGCCCAATATTTAGCTTCCACCTCATGCAATTACATGAATTAATGATTACTTATGATTAGTTAATTAATTAATTCCTTCCCTAATTCTACCAACTAACTTGAAAAATAACCTAGACTCCCCCTAATTGTCCTAACCAAGAACATGTTTGATGATGATGATGATGAAGAAGTTAGCGAAGCAAATGAAGAACCAAGCGGATGCTGACACTTGGATGAAACACTTTTACCCTATTCTGATAGCAGCTGATGTGATTAATCTGCAGCAGCAGGAACCTCTTTGAAATGATGGCTTAAAATCTGGTTTTGTTAATGGCATTTTTCCCCTTCCCTTCCATCAATGCGGTTCGTCTTGAAAAGTTGACATTGTTTTGATGCTTTGTGGATATTAAGTTGCAGAACTCTGCCCAGAATTTGCCCCAGAAGGTTGTTAGGCATTTGCCCCCGCTGACGTGACCCCAGTTGCTGCTGTTGTTGCACCTGTAACATTTTGCATGTAAACCGTAAATTCTCCAGATACTTTATCTCTGGAGTGTCACGACCACGATATCTCAAGCGAATTATGCTGGAATATTAGCAGGAAGATGGTTAAAATGTTTTTACCTGGGGTAGATGCGGAGGAGGTGATTGGCATTGAAGGAGGAGGAAGTGAGAGGATCCCAGCTGTGGAGGTGGACCCATAGGGCTGAGGCAAATAAGGGTACTGTACCATTTGGGGATATTGGACACCAAGGGCATGAGCCTGGCTACTACTCTGAGCATATTGAGCATATAATGGGTGGACATTTTGGTAAATTCCAGCTGGCCCAGATGCACCTCCAGTTGTGGTGGTGTAGTAAGGTGAGAATTGTTGGCCACCACCGCCATAGACACCGTAATAGTTCTGCACAATAACATGCATTTTGCACAAAAGTCAGCTTAAGAAAAAATCAAGAAAAAACCAAAGAAAAAATAGATAATTCTTGTTCCCACTTAAAGTGCTAAAGTTATTTAGTACTACGGTTTAGTGATATTCTTTTTTACTTGTAAGTTAGAGTTCTTAGGTTCAATTTTCGGCAAAGATGAATTTGAACCACATTATTACCAGGCCATTGTAATGCTAAACACACCCTCTCTTCCTTAGTGTAAAACTATAAATAATATTGTTTGTTTTAAAAAAAATGGTAAATAAAAAATTTACCATGGGATACATGGAATCTTGTGAATATCCAGTGTACCTGCAATTTTACAGCCAAAAAGAAGGAAAGAAAAACAGATATAAGTACACGGTGAACCCGTATCATGTAAATTGTTTTGGAAATTATAAGGAGAAGAAAAGAAAGTTTTGGATGTGTTTTTGTTCTGGGGAATTTGAGGCTTACCCATAAGCTGAATAAGGAAATGTGTATTGGCCAGTGGGTTGAGGGAAATAGGTTGATGATGATCCATGATAAGCAGCTGGTGGAGCCACCAACCTATGCGCTGCTCTAAACCTTCCTGCACCTGCAGCATTACCATAACAAAATCAACAAACACATTGGGTCTCTCTTCTTTGTTTCCTAACCCTAGCACATTTTAGATCCACATTCCCATTTAGGAATGGAAATATTTTCTGCGGGATGTGAATACTCGATCCACCAATACAGTAGGTCAACCGGGCACTCACAAGATTTATTCCGCATTGGAGAACAAAATGATTCAAGAAATGGTAAAAGAAAAGAATAAAATTATAGTATGAGAAAGGCAAAAACCATGAAGAGGAATTGGTGGGCGAGTCTTTTGTGCACCAAGAAATGCGAGATTGCAGTTTGCCCTCCTTCCATCAATCACAGGGGATGGATTTTGGCACGCCCTCACGGCTGCCTCTGGATCCTTAAATGTAACCTAATCAAAGCAATCAAACATTAATTAACAAAGAAACACAAATTTTATGATCAGAAAAACCCAGAAAGATCACAAGAAAGAAAGTAATGAGATTTTCTTACAAATCCATAACCCTTGGATCTTCCAGTGTTTTTATCTGTGATCACAACAGCCTCCAAGATCTCCCCAAACTGTTCAAAATACCTTCTCATGGTTTCCCTTTGAGTCTCCCAGGCCAACCCTCCCACAAAGATTTTGGTAAAAGTTGTGTCATTGTATTGCCCTTGATTGTTCATGTAATTACTTCCCCCCACCATCTGAATTTGCCTTCCTTGATTCATCAAAACCAAAATCAAATACCCAAAAAAAACAAAAAGATTAAATTTTTAATTTTTTTTTTTAAAAGAAGAAAAAAACCCAGAACCCAAATTTCTTTTGTGTTTCTTTTAAAGGATCACATCAAAGAAAACAGAGAAACACTCGTGCGGTTGGTGAGATTCTGTTTGTTCTTCTTCTTCTTTGTGAAATGACTGGTTTTTTGGAATGAGACTGCTTCTTCTTCTTCTTCTATAACCGCCACTTTTTCACAACACCTGCGATTCTTCATTACTGTTTGAGGGTGGAAGAAAAAGGGAGGGGAGAGAGAGAGAGAGAGAGAGAGAGAGAGAAATATTACCACCCCATCAAAATCTTTATATGCAAAAACACCAAAACGGAGTCAGAATAAATATAAGAGGAGAAAAAGAAATATTGAATATTTTTAAAATTATTGGAAGAAAAAAAAAAAAAGGAGAAGACAAAAAAGCTGCCAGTGGGAACCCACGACAATGGTCGGTGAAGGTGGTGGCCAATGGAAATATGGAAGACCAGCAGAGACAAGGGACCAGCCTTTCTTGCTGTATAACCACTTTCTCTCTCTCTTTCTCAACTATATGCAATATTATACACACACACACACACATAAGAATATAAATATTAAAATAATAATAATGTAGGATTGTGGGGGGGGGTCTGCATGAACAATTGCTTCGCTGTATTCAACCTTCCATATTTCCTGTTCTTCTTCTCTCTCTCCTCTTTTCTCTGTGTTTCCACCCCCTCCTAATATTGCTTGCTCTGTTTATGGCATTTGGTTCGGTCTCTGAGGAGATAACTTACCTTTGCTTTGAGAGTCTCTCTCTCTCTCTAAAGCTGCAGCTATTCTCCTAACTGAAAAAAGTACAGGAAGGAAGGAAACGGGATTGTTTTTGGTGGGCCAAAACTTTCTGGCACAACGTTCTAAAGTTTTCTTTGACAATTATGGGTGTTTTAATCAATAATAAAAATTTTGGACCCTTTTCTTTTGTCAATAAAATTTTTTATTTAAGCATCTCTGGTTTTGTTAAGTACACAATCTCTCCTCTTCCTGATTCGATGCTCTTGACTTCCTTAAATTGCCTACCAATTAGTGGCGAAGTCAAAATTCTAATTTCGGAAGCTCCTAATATAAAAAGTTAAAAAATAATTTAGACGATAATAATATGAAAAATTAAACAGTAACACTTTTTATTTATAAATCGTTAAAACAACATTACAAGTTTGAATCCACAATCATAAACATCGTTCTTAGCTAGGTCATTTTAAAAAAAAAAAAAAAAATCTTCTATTATGAGTAAATTGATAACTTTTTAGGGACGTTTTGAGTTATACGCCTTGTTTTTAAATGTCATAGATTAAACATCTATTTCTTTTGCAAATTTGATTAAACATTTTCTCTACAATTTTGGTACTTTAATTTTATTTCATTAGAAGTCTATTCACGTTAGCATTCCCTTTTTTCCTCCTATTTTTATGCATCTCTTATTATAATGATTTAAGATTTTTTTTTAATTTTTTATTAAAATATTTATTTTAGTAAATTAAGTAGAATGTAACAAAACTCGTTGTTAGGTACGTTTGATTATAATGGTACATTTAGGTACTTGAGACATTTGAATTTTTGGTCCATTTGGTTTCTTGGTACATTTGAATTTTTGGTACATTTGTTTTCAAAACATAAGTTTTATTACTTTTTGTTCTAATAATGAGGAATTACTTTAATTATTTTTATTTTATTTTATAGAAAGAGTCATTAAACAATGTAAAAGTTTAAATTACTTTAATTAATTATTTTGTTTTCTAGAAAGAGTCATTAATCAACGGATAATAACCTTTTTGTTAATTCAAAATTATATGATTTATCGTTATTATTTAGTATTATCTACAATAATAAGGATTTATCTCCGATCAAATAAAAGTTGTTCCAGAGACTTATCTACGAAAAAACAAGACTATGTAAATCGAACATATTTTTAAACATTCCAAAAAGATGAATATTTATTTTAATATAGTTTATAATTGGGTATGTTTTAATTTGGGGTTGGTACGTTTTCGTTTGACGTTGGTACGTTTTCATTTAATGTTGGTACGTTTCCATTTGTCGTGGGTGTACATTTAGATTTGAAAAGTTTAAAATTTTAGACTTAAATGCAATTGAAATTATTTAAAATATACAGCAGATATTTAAATGTAAATTAATTTCAATTAATCTGAAGTAGTTCAAGTTTGAGTATCTTAATTAAATGTTTCAAAAGCTTAATCAAAAACTCAAAAAGCATAAATGTTTAATCTACAAAAGTCTAAAATGAGTCATCTAATTCTAATTTTCTCAACATTTTAACATGTTACGAAGGACAAAACTAGGGGGTTTTTTTTTTTGTTTGGTTAAAAAAAATCTAAAGATAATTGTTGTCCATTATTGTGGTATTAATATTTTTTTCTCCATTAGCTCATCTAAATAAATGGTTAACTTAGTGGGCTTTATCACTTGTTAAATTTGTTAGCCTAGATAGTAAGAATTCATGTGTTAAAATTTCTAAACATGTGGAACGAGCTGTTTCATTTAAAGTCAATCAGATCAAACAACGACAACGATGTAGAAGGAAAAAAAAAAGAATGACGTAGTAGGGAAAAAAAAGAATTTTATTATCTTCTTCTTCGCGAGGCAACTGCTATCTGCAACACATTCAGGCCTCCTCTATGGATGTACCAAAATTTCGACTGGGCTATAACTATATCCTATCTAACCAAAAAAAAAAAAAAAAAAAAAAAAATCTTCTTCGAGGCGTAGGTTCATCTCTCATTTTGAAACATTCCAAGGGTCCCTGGAGGACCTTCATAAGCGTTTTCCCAGCTTTCGAAGGGTCCAAGGACCACGGTATCCTTATATGGATCTGCAGCCACCAATGCATGCATGGAGAAGAGACTCTACCAAGGGCATGTTTCTACAGGTGGAATGGATTTGTAAGGAATATGTATTATTATTATTTTACTGCCTATACTAACAACCAAAGAATGGAGAATGTGAAGCGAAAAAATAATCCAAAAATTTTAGAGCTGACACGTGAACTTTTATATGCAACTGACAAGAATGCCCTTATTAAATTTGCAACGCTCACATTTATTCCACGCTCAATTCAACCCTCTTGAAGACCTGAGTTGCTGACTACGATCTCTCGAATGGCAAGGAGAAAAATCAAAGATATTAAAAATAAGATTAATAATCAAATCATCTTTTTAAAGCTTTCCTTATTGAAGATCAACTCAATCAAGTAAGGAATAACAATTAAATCCAATAAGAGATTCTACGAGATAATTCCAAGATATTATTAATTAAATAATATCTTCGGGATAATTCTCTACATCATCCAACCGATAACACACCTTAGCCGGATGCCGACACATGACATGGAAAACCCTACACATGTGGCGGCCCTATCTCTATAATACCCCATCCTCCACCAATTTATTGTAAGCTTTTGTTACGCAATTAAGCCCTAAACTCTTTCAAAGAAACTGGCTTAGGCATCAAATCTCCATTGGCCAAAACCCCCACTATGTGGGCTTGTAGCTTTGGTCATTGATCAAGGGTGTTTAAATGTTTTGTACATACAAATTCGTCAGGACTGAAGATGGTGGATTTTTGCATACCACATAAAAGATAAATGTTTTTGGGTGTCTCATACATTTTCATACTTGAAAAATTTAAGTATGGAACGGGGCTCACCTTCGAATCCCAGCTTGGGGAGCAAATTAACCAAAACATCCCAGCCTTCCAATTTCAACTTGCCTTGTTTTACATGAGAATTTTTCAACATTTAAATTTATTCCTGGCCACATGATCAAAAATGGAAGGCTGAGATGTTCTGGTCAATTTGCTCCGCAAGCTGGGATCCTAAGATGATCCCAATCCTTGAGTATGAGATTACAATGTGGAGTTGTTTATCTCATACTTAATTTTTCATATCTCCATTCCTTTATCTGACCATTCATTCTCAATACAGTAAACTCCATTAAATACTTGAACTACAAATCACTTAGTTATTCATTAATTTTATTAGACATATTAACCTAAACATCCTCACCCTGTCATGCTATTTTGATTACCAATTTTAACAATACGGGTCCATTTTATTTAAGGCTTTGATGTCCATAATTTCCACATTTTTCACCATGTAAATTGCCATATAACAATGCAGTTGTGCCATAATATCACCAATTAATCACAATAAATGGAAAATTATTTAATAGACTTCATGTTAGTAGTTGAAAGTTCAAGCTGGCCATGGTGTAGAAATCGAACTTCTTGCACCACAATAAAGAGTTCTGTAATTGTTAATGTCATCTTCTTAATTGCCATATAATGCTTGCAGTCTTGCAGAAATCACACATCTACTATGTTTTTATCACTGTTCTAAAAATTCTTGCATAGGCGCTAGGTGGCTGACCACCGTCCCAAATAATGCATAGGTATTTGAAAATTAAAAAATGGCGCCCAGACTTGCTGAGGCACCCGTCTAGCTTGCCCGGACCCACCTAGGCACCTCCCTAGGTTGCGACTCACTTAGACGGAAAATAGATAACTTTCATTTTGCATTTTATTTTTTTCAATAAATTGTAAGAGACTTATTGAATACTTAAATGAACACACTTTATATGCTTGTTCCCTATATTTTCATTATATTTCAATACTTCATAACATATATGTCATTCTATTTTGTAGTTTATGATGAAATTATATATATTTTAAGTATAAACAGACACTTATTTACACGAAATATAATAGATTCACTTAAGTCTGCCTAGGTGCCCGCCTAGCATCCTAGGCACTAGGCCTCAGCCCACCGCTCAACTAGTGTCTAGCGTTTTTTAGAACCTTTTTATCACAAACGACAGAATGATTACACTACTTATTTAAATTGCAAAGAAAGAGATTCAAATTTTGGTACAGAAAGTGAAGTACATTGCTCTAGCCAACTTGTGTAAACCCATGTATATATGCACCCATCCACTGTGTTCAAAGTTGACAAACATTGAAAGGGCAATACGGCCTTTTGAATATGAACACTAAGAAATAAGGGACACCCTTCTCATTACTCAAATATAATTTGGTATTAAATATCATTAAAATGGTTTTTTATACACATGTAAAATGATTTAGAAAAGGAAGAAGTAAGAACCAGTGTTCTGGAAAGATGTGAAGGATGTGGTTTTGGTGAAGTACGGGGAATTTTTCATTGAGGTTTTGATTGAGGATAGGGTGCGTTGTTGTCGGTGGCGCCTTATGGTTGTTTGTGCAAGTACAGATGAACGAAGATGAGTTCAACAATTGAGTGTCTTAAGTGATTGGATTGCATGCTACCCTGAACCTTGTCTGATGATAGGTGATTTCAATGATTTATTAATGGAATCGGAGAAGGATAGGGGTAATGGAAGAACAGCTGCCAGCATGCGATCATTTAAGGATTTTGTGGCACAAGTGCGTCTATTGGACTTGGGTTTTGAATGATACCCGTATACG